CACACACACACACACACACACACACACACACACACACACACACACACCACTCACTGGACACATGGCTCTACCTCTTTGGTTTCCAGGTCTAGCAGAAATAATTCCTTCTGCTACTCCTAACCCACGTTGTTACCCAGACCATACTGAGATGCCCTAAAGCCTGGGTGGGCTACCAGAGAAGGAATGATAGAGAAAGGCCAACCACTGATGATAGCGGACAACATCTAGAAGTGGGTAGTAGGAGAGGACCGGCAGGTTCAGAACCTTCCGCAGCTCAGGAGTATGCTCAGCCCGGTTTCAGTCCCAAGCCATCCTTTCCATACCCGTCCACAAGAGGGAAGTCTTGCATTAGGGCTCTCGCGCGATCTCGCAGGTCTGGAAAATTGGAGTTGCCGGCAGTGGTTGAAGTGCTGGAGGTGCTGTCGGGCTTGATGAGGGCTCTGGGAGTACTTGGTGCAGTGGACGCTCCAAAGATGCCTGATTTGGTCTGGATCCCCGTTAGAGGCTGTGACGGCCCTAACAGGAGCAGCACCAATAGGAACACTGAAAGCATTGGGCTGAGCATCCGGTGACCCCCGAGGCCCATGGGTCGCATCTTGCTCAGGGTGGGGCAAGCGATCATAGGTGAACGTCTCAAAAGCCTGAGAGGGACAAAAGGTGACGATGTAATCCCGACCCTCAATTCACGAAGAGACTCACGAAAAGACCGGGTCTAGTGAGAAGGGGTTTGAGGTCAACGGATGAGGCGCAACACAGCCGCCAGGGGGACCTACAACCCTACTATCCTAATCTCTAAGGGCACTTCAGCAGGGCAGGCTAGTTGAAGCCGGTAGCACTCAGTTCAGCTCCTCTCTGGGCGTCCTTTGTCCCATGCCTTCTCTTCTGTTTACTGTTCCCAGTCAATCTCGGTGGCTTCTGGCTGTTTCTAGGGATTGCTCTCCAAGAAAGCGGACCTGTGGTAGTCTTTCACACAACGAAAGTGAGCTCTTTGCAAGACCACATCGTGTCCCTGACTCCCAGCCAGCAACTGGGAGCTACTCAGAGCACACACCTCCATACCCCAACCCCCTTCTGTCATCATTCAAGGTGACGACTGCTCTCTTCCTCTGTTGATGCTGTACCTGCCTAGAACTCTCACCATGACCCATCAGAGATGAGAACTGAATACACACTAAGTGGTGCGCATTCAGGGGATACTTACTTAGTAGCACAGGCACAAAGTCGATTAGCTAGTGAAATGGAAGGAAATGAAATATTTTCCAGGGCAGCAGAGCCCCATCTTAGCACCTTCTTCCCCGGGGCTGCAAACTTACCTCCCACCTCAGTGCGGAAGCCAGGGCAGAAGTATGAGTTCTAAGGTCTGGCACTTGTGTCTAGTGGCTTTAAACACCTTATCTGTGGCTCTTGTGGCCTGAGCTCTGCCAGAAACTGCGGGGGCTTAGTTTCCTTCCTTGCAAGCCCCACCCTGTTCCCAGCCCTCACCCTTTCTCTTCTCCAGGAACACCCCCAGCCGCAGAGACACACAGGCACACACATACACGCGAACCAATGCACCCACGGGGCATGCGTTTTTGTAGAAGTCCAATGACGGGACTTCTCTAAATGACGTAAAGCCCCTTCAAGAGCTCTGCTCACACTCTACCAGAAAACTTTTGCCGTTCCTGTCAATCACTCAAGATTCTGTCGTGATCCCTGCTGCTAGTGGAGCGGCTCCATTTTCTGGACCCTTCCTCAGGTGACATAAGCACTTTGGATATATGAGAAGCCCTCTTTTTTTTTTTTTTTAAAAAAAAAAAAACTTGGTTTATGTGGTAGAGAAGCCCTGTTAAAAAAGGAAATGGAGGCTGAACATGATACCAAATGCCTTTAACCCCAGAACTTGAAAGGCAGAGGCAAACGGCTATGTGTTCAAGGCTAGCCTGGTCTACATAATGAGTAGACCAGATAGAGTTACAAAGTGAGTCTTGTCTCAAATGAATAAATATTAAAATTTAAGAAGGAAATGAGAAAACTCTTTGAAAAGCAGGCAGAAATCTTGGACTACACAGCAGGGATGGATTTGTGTCTCCAGGACTGCACACTAGTGCCTGCTGTCTGTGATAGTGCTACACTCAAGGCAGTCAGCTCCTTGCCTGCTGCTCACTGGCAGGCCCACTACAGAATGTGTATTCCTTTAGGGTCAGGCCAGGGCACTTTTCTGCCCATCCCAACTCAGGCCCAGCTCCTTACCTTTCCCCTCCCCCACTGCCAAGTGGCAAAAGGGAAGAGAAACTCTTAGACATGTTGGTCTCCATATCACAGTTGTGGGTTTGAGGGTAACCTCCTATTTGTTCCATTCCTAATAAGCCCCAGGAAGCTGAGGGGAAGAAAAAGAAGAGGGCTCCAAATGTTCTCCTCAACACTCTACGTCTTATTTTTTGAAGCAGGGTCTCTCACTGAACCTGAAGCCCACCGTGTCAGCTGCCCCGACTGACCAGCCAGCCCCGGGCATCGTCCTTCCTCCGTCCCTCCCTGCCTGATGCTGGTATTATATAGGCTGATGTGCCTGATATTTTCCCTGTGTGCTGGGGATCCGAACTCAGGTCCACATGCTTACACTTTACCATCTTAGCTATTTCTTCCACCTCTGCTACAGGTTGTTTTTGAAATTTTTTAATTACATTTATTTACTTACTTTCCTGTGTGGGTACTTGTGTGGAGGTCAGAGAAGAACTGGCAGGCGTTGGTTCTCTCTTTTCATCATGTGTGTGTGTGTGTGTCAGAAATCAAACGCAGGGTGCCAGTCTTGGCAGCAAGCACCATCATCTGTTGAACTGTCTTGCTGGCCTTATTTTGTTTCAAAAAGTTTTTAAATTTATTTTTTATTATTTTGTGTGCATGAGTACTTTTCTTGCATGTCTGTCTGTCTACCACATGCATGCCTGGTGCCCTCAGAGGTCAGAAGAGGGCACTGGACCCTGTGGAACTGGAGTTACAGATGCTTGTGAGCCACCATGTGGGTACTGAGATCTAATCCTGATCCTCTGGAAGCAACAAGGGCTATTAACCTCGGAGCCACCTCTCCAGTCATGGCCCTATTTTAAAGCAAACCATAGGGCTGAGATGTAGCTCAGTAGTAGAAGGCTTGTCTAGAATGTGCAAAGCCCTAAGTTTGAGCAACAGTACTAGGGATGAGAACAAAAAATAAAAATGTAAAGCAAACCACAGATGTATATTTCATTTCTATGGAGGCATTTATCTCAGAAGGCCAGGACCCTTGAAAAAACAGATCACTAGAGAGGCGTCTTCAAAATCTCATAATACATTTTCTGAGGTTAACTTTTTATGTATATGTGTGTTTGTGTACGAGTGTGTGTACATGTGCTATGGCACAAATGTGAAGGTCAGAGGACACTTTGTGGGTATCAGTTCTTTGCTCCACCATGTGTGATCTGGGGGTTAAACTCAGGCTCGGTGGTGTTTGGTCAAAAGCATCACCCCAGCTCCCTAGCACTCTTTTATACAAAGAGTCTGGAATATTATATTTGGGGGCCTCATCCCAGTCCCTGGCACCCATCTTTGGAATGGAGCAGGAAGCTCCTTTCTAAGCCCCCTCCCCTGGGAGTTGCCTTGGTCTGGACTCCACCTCCAGGAAAGCCCACCAAGCAGTGACCCAGCCCCAGGGAGGGTCAGGACCACTCTCACAGGCTATTTAGGCTGCCCCACAGAGAATGAACACATGGTCTCTGGTTTTCATGTGGTCTCCCCTTCTCTCTTTTCCTCCTCACCATGCTTTCCGGGTGCCATCTGGGAGCACTGCATTAAACATGGGCATCTTTTATTCTGTCTGATTTGGTCTGATTGAAATTATTTGCATCGGTGGAGAGACTCTTCTAAGAAATGTTCCTAGCGGGTGGCAGACACCTTTACCTACCTGCTAACAATCTGCCATCCCTAGGGTTTTTTTTTTTTTTTTTTTTTTTTTTTTTTAAAGACAGGGTGTCTCTGTAACCCAGGCTGGCATGGAACTTACTATGTAGTCTGGGTGATTCTCAAATTCACTGCAATTCTCTTGGTGCCTCAGTCTCCCAAGTGCTGAGATTACAGGTGTGTGTCACTATACTGGACTTCACGAAACATCTTTATTGTCCCAAACTATCCTGTTCAAATCCTCATGATGGCCTATTTTCTAAAATTATTTGAATTTTAGTGTAAAAATGATACAGCATATTGAATGTGGTTGTTATGGTTTAGTTTGAGTTCTAAAGAAAGCGAATGCTTTGAAACTGATTTACTGAAAAAAATTGCTGGGTTTTGTCTTTGGTGTTTTCCATGTTTTTGAGTTTACTAATTATATCCTATGGTATCTGATGTGTTTCTCTGCTCCTTGTGTCTCCTATAAACTGGAATATGTGAAGAGCTTTTTCATTTTTACTTGTTTTATTTAGAGGTGTAGAAGCTCTCTGTGTTACCCATCCTGTCCATCTACATAAACAGTCCTCCCTCCTCAGCCTCTGACTAGCGCTTCAGGCATGTACCAGTGTGGCCAGTTATAGGAAGGAATTTCTTGTCTGTTTTGAGACAGAGTCTTACTATGTAGACCAGGCTGGCCTGGAACTCAGAGACCTACCTTCAGTGCTGGGGTTAAAGTGTGTGTCCCTACGCCCGGAACATAGGAAGCTCTTGAAGCTGTGTTTCCAGGGCTTCACCTTGAAAACTTTTGCTGATTCGATGTTTAAAGCTCTTCTCAAGAGTAGGAGCCAGAAAGAAGGTGTACCCTGGGGATCCTTGTAGGCACAGGACTTTAGGAACCGGTTTCTCTGTGAAGGAATTTACTTCGGAGGAGCAGGAAGGCTTGAGGCTTGGTCTTGAACTTCAAGTCCAACATTGGTCACAGAAAATCACTCTCTTGGACAGAAGGGACCTCCCTGGAGCAGTGCTGGCTGTGAGCCTCAGGCAGGGGGTGGGGAGGTATTTGCTGTACTTTTCCACAGTGTTCTTACCCCAGGCAGCAGGTCTCCCTGGGGTTCTTCATCTGCCTCTTGAGCCTTTAGACAGGAGCCTCCTTAGTTAACTGCTGCTAGTTTCTTCTAGTTTTAGGAAGTGCAGCCACACCTGTCCTGTGCTGCTGGCTGCTGGCTTGGTTAAGAACAGAAGTCTGCTCACAGAGAGAGCCCCAGCTTGGCCCCTCTGTGTCCTCTCAGCGCTTGTCTCCTCCACTCACAGCCGACTGTCCCTTTTCGTTGCCCAAGAAGACTCTAGAGGACTGAAGGAAGGGGGCTGTTCAAAGCAGTTACTCCTCTCTGAGGCTTCTTGCTCGTGGCTAGTTGGCATGCAAGCAGATTCCTGACGCAGGCGCAGGCACAACAGTTAAAGTTCTAGCTACTTTGGTGGTCAGTGGAGGTCATTGCTGAAGAGGGCTCAGTCATCTGAGGCAGCCACTGGCCTGTCCTCTGGGCAGTGATGCTCAGGCAGCGTGCTTCTGTGGGACTACCCCTTTGCCACCATACTTCATTTTCAGGCGAGGAATTTTGGCACTAGGACACCCCAGATCTTGGTCTGACTCTTCCTGAACTCTCTGTCTCTTGCGAGCCCGCCTGGGTGCTGGCTTCTCTTCCTCAGCCTTTGCCGGGGTGGCCAGCGGAGCATCCCCATAGACACGGTAGCCTCCAATCAGGCAGTATGTCTCTCCATGCCAGGCTATCTGGGCTTGTGCGTGCTCTCTGTAGAGGACATGGTAGTATCCGGGGGAAGGGGGGGCTGTGGGAGGAATGGGTGCTGCAGGGAAAACCAGAACTGATCAGTCCCTCCTGCTCCATCCTCTGTGCTGCAGAGCCCTTCCTCTCAGGTCCCTTCCTGTCTCTGCCTGAAGCCCTCCTGTCTGCTTGGCATCCCAGACACAGCCTTGCCTGTCACTGCCGTGGGTCCCCTTGGAGGGAGCTTCTGTAAGAGCACTTGGCTTCTGGGGAGCCAGTGGCAGCTGTGTGAGGCCTGCATGTGTGGCCCATCTCCATAAAGAACGGTAGACCCTCAAGCTAGCTACAGCTGAGACCCCCCCTTCGTTTCTCCTCCCACAAATGAGAAGGATTTCTAAAAGCCTGCTGTTTCTGGGCTGTAATGAGTACGTTTGGAAAAGCGGTGTAAGATAAATTTGTTAAGAACTCCTCCCATTGTGGTTGGCTGCCCCTCTTGGGATCTGTTCATTCCAGCCACACTCAACTGTAGCCCTGTTTTAGCTAGATTTTGGTATGCTTTTTTCTTTTTTGAGACATCATCTTAATATACTGAAAGCTATAGCTACAACTGGTCAGATAAACCATTTCATAGATCTATAACCGTCCAAGGAAATAGTAACAGTCATTAAACCCAGGGTCAGCAAAAAAATCCAGGATCAGACAATTTTAGCGCAGAATTCTACCAGACTTCCAAGGAAGAGCTAACCAGTACTCCTCAAAATAGTCCACAAAATAGAAACAGAAGGAGCATAATCAAATTCATTTTATGAGGCCATAGTCACAAACCTGATACCTAGTCCACACAAAGATTCAATAAAGGGAATTACATTGTGAACACTGAAGCAAAAATACTCAATAAAATACATGCAAATGGAATCCAAAGACACATCAAAAAGACCATATAGTGACATATTATTTGTGTTCTAATAAATAAAGCTTGCCTGAAGATCAGAGGGCAAAGCAGCCATACTAATCAGTCACACAGGTCAGGGATTGGTGGCACATACTTTTAATCCCAGGATTTGGGAGACAGAGGCAGACAAATCTCTATGAGACCCTGGACTACACAAGATTGTGTAGAGAAACAGAGCTCATACAAAAATGATCCCAGCACTTGGGATCACATGGCTTTAATCCCAGCACTAGGGAGGTGGAGGCAGCACTAGGGAGTGACTGGGCAGAGAGATGAATATAAAGGGGAAGAGACAGGAACTCAGTGGAGTGTGGAATCTGAGGTTGGTGGAGAGCATTGTAGGATCGCCCCTTTGTTTGTCTGAGCCCTGGCACAGGTAAGATCTCTCTAGTGGCTTGGCTGTTTTGCTTTTCCTATCTTCAGGTTGAACCCCAATATCTGTCTCTGAGTTTTTATTATTCGTGCTACAAGATCATCCACTGTGATCAAGTAGGCTTCATCTCAGAGATGCAGGGATGGTTCAATGTATGAAGATCTGTCAATGTAATCTACCATATAAACAAACTGAAAGAAAAAAAAAACATGATCTTTTCATTAGATGCTGAAAAGCCTTTTACAAAAATCCAACACCCCTTCGTGATAAAAGTATTGGAGAGATCAACGATACAAAAGACATACTTAAATGTAGGTATAAGAAAGGCAATTTACAAAAAAAAAAAAAAAGAAAGGCAATTTACAGCAAGTCTTGCCTCCCTGTTGGGATTAAAGGTGTATGTCACCATGCCTGGCACCATTCCTTGTTTTAAGTTGTATTACAGAGCTATAGTAGTAAAAACTACATGGTATTAACATGAAAACAGACAGGTTGATCAATGGAATGGAATCAAAGACAAACATAAATCCATATGAACACCTGAGTATTAATTAAGAAGCCAGAAATATACAATGAAAAAAAGAAAGCATCTCCAACAAATGGTGTTAGTCTAAATGGATGTCATCTTGTAGAAGGATGCAGATACATCAATACTTATCATCCTGCACAAAACTCAAGTCCATGAGGATCAAAGACCTCAACATAAACCAGATACACTGAACCAGATAGAAGAGAAAGTGCCTTGAACATTGGCACAGGAAACCACTTCCTGAATAGAACACTAGCAGCACAGACCCTAAGACTGGCAATTAGTCAAAGGGACCTCATGAAATTGAAACATTTCTGTAAAGCAAAGGACACAGTCAATAGGACAAAATGGCAGCCTACAGAATGGGAATTTTTTTTTTTTTTTACCAACTCCACACCTGTAAGAGGACTAATACCCTGGTGTGGGAGAATTGTCTGTATTCTGTCAATCATATTTTAATAAAACGCTGATTGACCAGGCAGGCAGTATAGGCGGGAAAGCCAGACAGGAAGTAGGGGTGGAGCAAAGAGACTGGGAGTATTCTGGGACACAGGAAGCTCTCTCTCCACTCCTGCGCAGACCACCGAAGAGGCAGCATGTAACTTGCCCAGCTGAGAAAGGTACAGAGCCATGTGGCTAATGTAGATAAGGATAATGGGGTAACATAAGTTATGAGTTAACAAGAAGCCTGACCTAATGGCCAATCAGTTTATAACCTTATGGAGTCCTGTGTGTGATTTCTCTTTGGGATTTGCCGGTTGTGGGGTACAGGGCAGGACAGAAACTCCAACAAGCCAACCGGCATGTTACAATACCCAAAATATATAAAGAATTCAAATATATAAAGAAACCAAATAATCTAAACAGTATTCTCAACAGAGGACTCTCAAATGACTGAGAAACATTTAAAGAAACATTCAAAATCCTTAGCCATTAGAAAAATGTGAATCAAGTCAGGCGGCAGTGGCAGTGGTGTAGCCTTTAATCACAGCACTTGGGAGGCAGAAGCAGGCAGATCTCTGTGAGTTCAAGGCCAGTCTGGTCTGCAAGATACAGAGAAACTCTGTCTCAAACCCCCTTCCCCAAAAGTAAATATGAATCAAAATGACTCTGAGATTCCTGACACCTGTCAGAATGGCTAAGATCATAAACACAAGTGACGTGACAGCTCATGCTGGCGAGGATGTGGAACAAGGAGAGAACCCCTTCACTGCTGGTGGGAGTGCAAACTTGTACAGTCACTTTGGAAATGTGACAGTTTCTCAGAAAATTGAGTATTGGCCTATTTCAAGATCCAGGCATTCCTCTCCTGGGCATATACCCAAGGGACACCCCATCATACCACAAGGACACTTCCCCAACTATGTTCATAGCATCTTTATTCTTAATAGTCAGACTAGAAACAACTGAGCTGTCCCTCAACTGAAGGATAGATAAAGAAAATGAGGTACATTTGCACAATGGAGTATTACTCAGCTGTTAAAAATGACATTATGAAATTTGCAGGCAAATGGATAGAACTAGAAAAAAATCATATGTGGTTCAGTGCCGCGCCCAGTCTCACGGCAACTTGTTCTGCTGTGTTTGGTTGATATCCCTGGGAGGCCGGCTCTTTTCTGAAGGCAAACAAAGGAGGGGTGGATCTGGGGGAGAGGGACTTGGCGGAGAGGAGGAAGGTGAAGCTGAGGTTGGGATGTAGTATAAGAGAGAAAAAAAAGAGTGGTATTTGAACTTCTTAACCACCGAGCCATCAATTTGCCAGTTTATAAACAGTTTCTAAACCCTAAACCCTGTCTTGAAAAACAAACAAACAAAAAGAAACCTATTCCCCCCCCCCAAAAAAAAAGAAAGGTAGATAGATGTGCTGGTGCACACCTGATTTTAGCTCCTGGGAGGCAGAGGTTAGAGGACTGTCACAAGTTGGGGCCATGCCTTATCTACATGCAGAGTTGTAGGCCAGCTGAGTCACATACTGACATTGTCTCAAACAAAAACAAAAATCTATGTGTATAGCAGAATATCATCAGGCTGACTGCCTCCCCTCCCCCACAAGTCATGTTTGGTTCTATCCTAGGTCTCTGAGTCATCCAGCCTCTGGGTTCTGGTGTCCAGGCAGTGCTGGGATGGGCTTACTCTCCTGGCATAGGTTTTAGGCTAGACCTGTCATTGGTTGGCCACTCCCTCAATCTCTAGGCCACCCTTACCCCAGCACATCCCATAGGCAGGACAGTTTGTAGGTGGAAGGTTATGTGGCTGGGTTGATTTCCCACTCCCTCCACTTAAAGTCTTGCCTGGTTACAGGAGATAGCCAGTGGCTCCTTATCCACTCTTGCTAGGAGTCTTAGCTGGGATCATCCTTGGAGATTCCTGGGAGATTCCCTTGTGCCCGACCTAGGCATTCAGCATATATGTTACAGTTGTGTAGCTTGGTTCTCTTGTCAGACTCCCGATAGTGGGAACAGGGGCTGTATGTGACTCTTTTACTGGCTTTTGGGACCTACTCCTCATACTGGGTTGCCTTGCCCAGTCTTAAAACATTGGGAGGTGTCTAGTGTTACTGAAGATATGCCATGTTTTGTTGATACTCACGGGAGACCTGCCCTTTTTAAACAGAAACTGAGGAGGAGTGGATTGGGGGTAGCTGGGAACAGAGGGGTGGAGGTGAGAGGAAGGGACTGGGAGGAGAGGAGGGAGGGGAAACTGTGGCCAGAATACAAAACCAAACAAACAAACAAACAAACAAATAAATACACCAAGAAAACAAAACAAAAGTGCTGGGAATGGTGGCATACACCTTTAATTCCTGCAATCAGAGGCAGAGGGAGGCAGGCAGATTTCTGAGTTCAAGGCCAGCCTGGTCTACAGGGTGAGTTCCAGGACAACCAGAGTCAGAAACAAAGACTCTGTGAGGTGGAAGGGGAATCATTTTATAGCCCAAAGGGAAAACTAAACTGATGAAGATTAGTTGCCCAGAGAGGATCTGTTATTTGTCCTCAATATTTAGCAAGAATAGTTGGTGTATGAGTCAGTGTTACAATTTCCCTTACTCATGGTTATAGAAATTCTGAGGGATGACAAGCCTCAGAGAAATATACAGTCCCTAGTGAAGTTACATGTATACCAAAGGCTCTTGTGCAGATGCCTGGTCTAGATTTACCTGAATAACAGCCCTCACAGGGGATAGAGGACAAGTTACAGTTAATATAGAAGATCCGGTCAGTCATTCTCAGACAGTCAGACTCGCATCCAGTACAGAAACGATAGGAATGTTTTTCCTAAGGCATCCAAGTTTCTATAGTTACATGGCCACGGAAACTGAGAGCTGTGATGTCATCACTACCTACTGAGGTCACATATGGAACATATGGAACAGACCTTGAGATTTTAAGGAGAGCAGGGCAAAGACAGAGAGGAACCCTGGATAGGGTTCTTCCACACCATCTACCTAAGTAGCCACTCCCTGTGGATCCCTGTGGAGCACTTCTGGTGGTTACAGTCCCAGTGGCCACTAGAGGGTATGAGAAACACAAATTCTAAGATTGGACAGAGTGAAGATTAACCTTAACTAACCCCTAAGCAACAGAAAGGCAGAAGTTTGGGTGGATTAGAGAGCCAGAGAGCATGGGTGTGGTGGTGCACACCTTCGGTGCACTTGCAGGCAGAGGCAGGCAGATCTTTTGAGTTTGAGGCCAGCCGAAGCAATATAGCGAGACCCTTAAAAAAAAAAAAAAGTCAAATCTTTACAAGTGCAAAAGACATACCAGCTAGCAAAAACGAAAGGCAAGGGCTTGGCTCAGCAGAGAAGAGCACTGACTGTTCCTCTACAGTACCTGGGTTTAATCCACCATTCACGTGCTAACAGTCTGTAACTCCAGTTCCAATGGGATCCAACACCTTCTGGCCTTCAAGGGCACTGCGTGACTGTCGTTCTCAAACGCGCGTGCAGGGAAAGCATAAACATAAAATAAAAACATAATCCCCAACACACAGACCACACACACAAAACCAGGCTTCTACTGACTTTGTTCTGTCCAAAGAATACAGTCGTAGAACTTTTATCTTTTTACAATTGAGGTCTCAAGAAAATTTAAGGAGTAGGCTTTTGGTATAAAGATATATTCAGAGTGCTCACCTAGCCTGCAGGAAAGTCCTTGGTTCCATCCCCAGCACCACATAAACCAGAATGCATACTCTTGTAGTTTCTGCTCTTAGGAGTGGATGCAGCAGGATCAGAAAGCAGCCAGCAGAAAGATGGCTCAGTGGTTAAGAGCTCTGGGTGAGCTGGGCGGTGATGGCACACGCCTTTAAGTCCAGCAGGCATTGGTTTGGGAAAAAAAAAAAAAGAGCACTGGGTGCTCTTCCAGAGGTCCTGAGTTCTATTCCCAGTAACCACATGGTGGCTCACAGTCATCTATAATGAGGTCTGCTGCTGTCTTCCTGGAGTGCAGGTGTACCTGCAGATAGAGTGTTCATAAACATAAAATAAATTATTAAAAATAGTTTCCTTTCAGGGGGGAGGGGACAGGCAGGGAAGGGAGCAGAGAAAAATGTAGAGCTCAATAAAAATCAATAAAAAATTACCATTAAAAATAGTTTCCTCTCAATAAAGAAATCTATTCAATTTTTTGGTTTTTCAAGACAGGGTTTCACTGCATCTTTGGAGCCTGTACTAGAATTAGTCTTTTTTTATATAATTTATTTTTATTTTATTTGCATTGGTGTTTTGCTACATGTATGTCGGTGCGAGGATGCCAGATCTTGGAGTTACAGACAGTTGTCAGCTGCCATGTGGGTGCTAGGACTTGAACCCAGGTTCTCTGGAAGAGTAGTTAGTGCTCTTAACTACTGAGCCATCTCTCTAGCCCCCTTTTTTTAATATTTATTTATTTATTATGTATACAATATTCTGTCTGTGTGTATGTCTGCAGGCCAGAAGAGGACACCAGACCTCATTACAGATGGTTGTGAGCCACCATGTGGTTGCTGGGAATTGAACTCAGGACCTCTGGAAGAGCAGGCAATGCTCTTAACCACTGAGCCATCTCTCCAGCCCCCGGAACTAGCTCTTGTAGACCAGACTGGCCTTGAACTCACAGAGATCTGCCTGCCTCTGCCTCCCGAGTCCTGGGATTAGAGGCTTGCACCACCACTGCCTGGCAGATCTATTCCATTATTTAAAAAAGACTTAAGCAGGCATGGGCTTCCTCCAATAAATGTAGCAGTAATAATAAAATGCTGAAGTAGGAAGATCAGTATGTGTTCAAGGTTAGCCTGGATTACATAGTAAAATCCTTTCCAAACTGCTGAAAATGAGTCATATATGCCAGCACAGTCAACTTTAATCCGAGCACGTGTGAGGCAGAGGCAGGAAGAGCTCTCTCTGAGTCTGAGACCAGTTAGGTCTACAGAGCAAGTTTCAAGCCAGCAAGCTACATGGTAAGATCTGCCTCAAAAAACAAAAGCAAAATAACAAAATAAAAAACTGAAATTGAAAAAAAAAAACAAAAAAACCTCAAACCTGGTCTCCTATCCCTGCCAAATTCAAACAATGAAATCTACAGGTTTACCCGAAGTCACACAGACACTGTATTTGTTTTTTAGAAAACTTCCTTTTTACATTGATTTTTTTGTTTGTATGTCTGTGTGTGTGCCCATTTGCCACAGATTAGTGCTGAGATCAGAGAACAAATCGCCTTTCGACATGTGGGTTGTTAGACTTGATGCCGGGTGCCATAGTCACTTAGTCATTTCAGTGGCCCAGGATCGGTGTTTTCTTCAGCAAGACTATGGCTTCATATTGTTCATGTTTGGATTCCAGACTTACAGCGTTCAGAAACACGATGACAGGCTCCTACTGTAGGTGTTGTAGATCATTGTATTTAAAGTTGACATACACTGGGAGGATGTTAAAGGTGCTCCAAGGGAAAACAGTTGTCATTGATTTTACAAAGTGGGATTAGCAGAATATTTTTGTAGAAACAGTATTTATGCAGTGACATAAATGGACAACCCCTCCACTTCCCTTTTCAAAACAAAAAACAATAGTGTTTGAGATGCAGCTTAGCTCAGCAGTAGAACACTTGACCAATACACTTGAGGTTAAAGTGCCAGTATGGCAAACAACCATGACAAGAAGAAACAGACCAAACAGGGCTTGGATAGATGGCTCAGTAGGTAAGAGTGCATATTTGCAGAGAGCCAGAGTCTGGTTTCCACCACCTTTATGGGAACATTCAGTTAAATATAATTCCACTTCTAGGAATCTCACCCAATCTTCTAACCTCTGAAGGTGCCTGCTTCATGTGCTTCATACAGACACACATACAAATAATTCAAAATTCAATAAACCTTAAAAAAAATAAACCCAATCCAAGCCAACAAAATCCTACATTTGATGAAGTGTAAATCCTCAAAATCTACTAAATTCTGTTCAGAGGGTGGTTACTGTTAGGGAAGTTCACACAAAACCATGATTAGCTAGGGGTAGGGACACAAGCCTTCAGTCGTAGCATTTATCAGCCAGGTTAAGATCAACAATGGTCCACATGTGGGTGACACATGCCTTTAGTTCTAGCACTCATGAGACAGAAACACACAGTTTTTTTGTGAGTTAGGAGCCAGCCTGGTCTATGTAGTAAGTTCCAGGACAGTCAGGCCTACATTAAGAGATTCTGGGTTTGTTTATTTATTTATTTATGTGTGTGTGTGTTTTATTGTGTTTTGGAGACAGGGTTTTCTGTGTAGTCCTGGCTGTCCTGGAACTTGCTGTGTAGACTAGGCTGGCTTCAAACTCAGAGATCCTTCTGTATCTGCCTTCTGAGCGCTGGGAGTAAAAACATGTGCTACCACTTTTCTGTCTTAAAAAGACAAACAAAAAATTAGAAAAAAAAAAAGGGGGGAGAAAAGGATCACTAAAGACTAACTTGAGCTAATGACACACAGTGAGTTCAAGTCAATTGTGAGCTACATAGTGTCAACCTGTTTCAAAATACACAGATCATTTCTTGTTAGAAATCATAACATGAGGTCCGTTGAGATGGCTAGGTGGACAAGGGCACTTGCCAAGCAAGTCAAGTGAGCCTAGATCCCTGGAACACCCAGAAAGGTGGATTGGTTACACAAAATTGTCTTCTGACCACACACACATACAAAGAAGAAAAATGAAATCATGACATTAAACTCCACTTTATTTATTTATTTTTTAAAATATGTTAGTCTCCAGTTCTGGCCAATAGCTTACTTTTCAAATCTCCAAACAGTTCACCACGTTTTAATAGAGGCAAGGGGTGGTGTGGTGATCCGATGTCACCCCCTGACCAAAGTATTCAACCCTCCTGAGTCCCCAGGAAGATCCCTGTTTTAGTATTCCAGCCAGCCAAATCTCAGGCTTGTTGAGGCAAAGGGTCTTTCACTGAAGAGGCTAATCCTGGAAGGCTTCTTCTTCGACGAGCTGCCAGCTCAATTTTCTGGACCAGGCTCACATCCCAGGGATGGGTAACAAAACTGATGACGGTCCCTGGCACTTCACTGCCCACTCGACCCACCCTTCCTGCTCTGTGGATGTAATCCTGCAGAGTAGGGGGAAAATCATAATTGACAACAAGTTCCACATGGATGCTATCTAGACCTCGGGATGCTATGTCTGTGCAGACAAGGACGTCTTGGGAGCCTTTTTGGAATCTCTGGAAGATGCCGGCCCTCATCGAGGCTGGCATTTGCCCTTGCAGTCTCAGATGTTGGATTTTGTGGTCATCCAGAATATATCCCAGCCAGTTCACAGTGCTAGAGCTGTTGCAGAACACCAGGACGGTTCCTGAGGCTTTTGTCTTATTTGCTTTGTCATGCTGTTTGAGGATCTGAACCAGTTCTGTTACCTTCTCCGCTCCCTTTAGTCTCATAAATGTCTGTCTGACATGAGGCATGATGCAGTGGAGCCTGGAGCTGGTGACGGTGGTGAGACAGTCTGGGCTGGTGACTTTACCCAGCAGTTTGTTTACGCCTTCTGGAAACGTGGCTCCCACCATCACTAACTGAGCTTTGGGATTAAAGGGGTCTTCTAACTCAGCTGGACTTTCTGCTATTGGGCTCTTTCCCAAGATGTAGTCCACAAGTTCCAGGAAGCTTTCATCCAGCAATGTGTCGGCTTCATCCAGCACGAGGAAAGAAAGATGCTGCAAGCTGACCAGTTTACTTTTCAGGGCCTTCCACAGAGCCCCTGGAGTGGCCACAAGCACATCTGCTGATGGT